AGCGAATACTCTTCACACAGCAGCGAGAATCTTATATGCCTGAAAGAACACTCAGAGTCAGTGTACGACTCAGATATGTTCACTCTGCTCACGTGAATACGTTGTTGACCTTCGCACACAGATGCCGCGTATGTTCAGGGCCGGTGTACACATTTCTAATGTCAACAGGAACCATGTAGATGTTGTGGAACAAGAAGCACTGGTAGTCATACAGAGCGGTTGCTTTAACATAGTCGATGTTTAAGGGCTTCGCTCAGTTAAAGCCACCGCTGTCACCCTGTATATTGAAGTATGTAGGGTGGGGCAAATGCAAAAAAAAAAATTAAAATAGGTAATTTCTATTTTATTACACTCCTTACAATTAAATATCAATGCATAAACTTTTGTTTAGGTACGAGTTATGTGCTACAAAAAATGAACATGTTGCCACCGTTCAAAATATTATTCCTAAAATAAAAATATGCTCCAGATGTCACATTTCGCCCCAACGTAGGGGTAAAAATGAGGCGCTGTGTGGGGCAAAACGAGACAGTGTGAAAAAAATTATTCGTCTCAGTTTTTGCAGTAGAAAGACATTAAATATACTCTGTGGGTCCTTAGAAGTCCTAAAGAGCCAAGCCTTTCGACTCCAGACATTGAGTATTGACAGAACGCGGTGTTGTGTTGCTCCGCCACTCCTTGCAGATCAAACAACGACACTCCTTTTTTTTTCGCTGATGTTTTCTTTTGTTGAACGCTTGCACCTCATTGTATTATTCAACAGCTGGAGGCTAGATATGTTTTCATGTATCTTCTTCCAGTATTCTTGTCATTTTACGCAGAATCGCTCAGGCATTTTATGGCATTTAACTTCGCCTGCCGGGCTCTGTGAGGCAATGAATATAAAATTACGCTAGATCCTCATTTTAAGACTGTTGTTGTTTTTTTCTATAAGGGTATTGAAAAACGTTAACACTCAATCCCAAGGCGTTTTAGTGAACGACTTGACTTGGGGATTCCATAATTTTTATGCGTCTCTTGAGCGCATTCTTGGGAACATGCAAAAAACCTCGACGCAGCGCGAATGGAAGGAGCCATGCCCCGAACAGAAGTCCATGCTTTTTCGCGTCATTTTCCTCTCAGGAAGCTCATCATTATGTTTCCTTGTATGCCATAGCTCTCCTAAACTAAGAAATATAATAGATAGTATGTTTAAGTTAATAGTTCAATTATTAAGATGCTCTCTAAAGCGATTAGAAGCCTTCTTGTCGCATTTTGCCTCTCTTATGTGCCGGATTTTTCACAAATATTCACTTTGTTCCCGAGCACCAAATGAACGAAACCTTTGGTGTTATGTAGATCGAAGTTTAAAGTAACTAAATAAATAATAACGTTGCTGTACTAACGCAGGAGTAGCTTCATGCGTAGATTCGAAGTGTTGGCCGAGTAGAGTTTCGCCCCCTTTTGACGGGTCATGAACACACTGACGGCAGCTACGTATTATTTCCCACGTAAACGCTGTGAGATAACAACTTTTAAACACAAAAAGGTTGACAAGGAGCTGCACTTATTGCTAGAAAAGATAACCAGATTAAAGTAGTTTTTTTATTAGCTACAGAGGTCGAAAGGTCGCGTTTTGCCTCATGTGTCAGTTTACCACACCCTATCCTATTACATACTTTCGGCCTATATTACAGCCCCTTGACTGGATTTGCAGGAGAAATTTAATAAAATGCATGCTCAGTATATGAAAGTACAATAGTGAAGCATAACGAAAATATTTCGTTGCTCTTTCCTTATCGGGAAAAAGGGGACAAGTGAAGCTTGGATTATGTGCGTCAGACCTACTTCATTTATTTGTTAATTTACTTATTTATTTCCTTATTTCTTCCTTTTTGTTTTTAATTCTTGCAGCATTGCAGCGATAAAAGATTTGATTGTCATATCAGAAAAGGTTGATCTCTGAGAAGCACAATCACACAAGCGTTCTTTCTTGAAAAACAGTGTGCGGAAACACGCATGTGGTCCCCGTATACCTTGGAGGGCTGCATTTATGTACGACCACGGGCGCCAGCATTTTTGTTCCAGACGCTGGCACCAAACTGTGTGAGTCCAGACAGGTTCGTACTTTGTAGTGTACCTAGTACACTAAATCGTTACCCACTTTTTCCAAACACCACACTTGCGCCTTGGGGACGGCTTTAAGCTCTCCCATATTAGAGTACCAAGTACTCTAAATCGTTACCCACTTTTAGATGCGGAGCATCTAATACTCGAGGCTTGTAGTGCGGCGCCGTCCGCAAGCTTCCTCCTCCTTCTTCCACCATCTGTGCATCCCTTCCTCCTCTACACACCGCACGCGCTTCACTCCTCCACCATCTGTGCACCCTTCCTCCTCTACACACCGCGTGCGCTTCTCCTCTTCACGAACATTCGCTAGCTGTATAATGTAGCGCGCATGCGCCGTCACGCTTCGAGAACATCGGCAGCTGACGCGCGCGCATGCGCCGTCGCGCTTCGAGAACATCGGCAGCTGACGCGCGCGCGCATGCGCCCTTGCGCTTCTCCCCCTTCTCGAACATTCGACAGCTGACAGTGCATGCGCCGTCGCGCTGTATATATACTCAAGGTCGGTGCTCGCTCGCTCAGTTGCCGCTCATCGGTTGGTTTGTACGGCGCGTCGACGTCCGAGGTCGCAATGATCGACGTCCCTTCGACCAGCGCCGGCCAAAGTGTTGGCGGAACCGCAACCAAGTCGTCGTCCGAAGACAAGGCAGCGTGGAGAAGAGCTCGCGACGCCGAACGTAAACGTCGGCGTCGAACGGAAGATGCTCAACTTAGAGAACGTGAAGACGCTGAGAGACGTCAGCGTCGAGCAGCAGCACCGGATTCGGCCGCTTTGAAACGTAAGCGTCGACAAGAGGACCCGGACTTTCGAAAACGGGAAGCCGAGTGCAAACGTCGGCGACGAGAGGCCGATCCCGATGCTGCCCGCGAGCGCAAGCGCGCCGAGGTAGCGGCGTGGCGCGCCAAGCAGTATGCCACGCCCAACGCTCGCTTCAAGCGCGATTTCCTCAACCGAAGCTTCGGCCACACCTGCAAGGTGTGTGATCGTCTTTGGTTCGATAACAACTTAACTCGGATCGGCAACATTCAGAACAACTCCAAAGCGTTGTCGGTTCTTTGCGATACGTTTGGAAAGGGCACCGACTATGCCGACTACGTCGTGTGTGCTACGTGCAAGCAGTCGTTGATTGCCGGTCGAGTTCCCTCGGCTAGCGTGAGTTACAGCTACCGCTACCCGCCCCGACCCGCCCTTTCGCATACGTTTCGTACGTGTTCACTCATTTAACACCCCTCCTACAACCACGTTAACCAATTTAGCCAGCGACCCAAGTAAGTCGCAATTTAACACCCCATTTCACAACCACGTTAACCAACTTAGCCATCGACCCAAGTAAGTCGCACTTTAACACCCCGTTAACCAATTATATGCTCCGCATCCTCCTCAGTGTTCCCCCGAGGGAAGCTGCGGGCAATTTTTTTTTCTAACCCCTCATTTGAAAGGTGATTCGCACTTTCGTAATGTGTTTGTTCAAGCGATGTTATCGCCCTTATACTGGCCCGATACTCAACTATTCCGACTGCCTCGACCTTCAGCAGCACTCTCTTTTTTTTTTTTTAACGAAGCAACGTTTCCACTTTCACTACCCCTCTTTGGTGTAGTGCGCACTTCATTCAATGAAGCTGTCTTATGCGAGATTGTTCCTGGCTCAATGACCACGAAAATGCACACGCCACTCAGAAAAAGTAGACGAATCATTGCTTTCAGTATACTTTTGCCGTCTGCGCCGTCTAGTGCATATGCGAGCCGCCTGTTGTCGACAGCAATCCGCTGGCAAATGCAGTCATAGCAATGTTTTCACCAGTTATTTCTTTAGATACATGCTCGCCACAGCCCACGGCTGGCTAATAGACGGTGCAGACAGTGGCAAGCGCTCCCGTGGTCCGTGTACTTTTGTTGACAAGTGTCTTTTAAGGAGACATCGCGCCGTAGCGCAATGCATGAGATGTTAATGCTTTTACTGCTCTGCATTGCAAGTCCTGCGTTGTCCAGCAATCTTCCGTATTTTCTTTTCTGACTTCACTGGAATTACTTCACTGGAAGAATAAAGAAAAAAATCGGCAGATCTCATGTACCTTGCGCATCGGTGTTATACGATGCGTGCGAAGAGAAGGTGACCATGTTGCAATGTTTACCATTTAGAGACAAACATTGGCTACTACATCACCGTCTCTCCCTTAATGGAGCGAGGGTCCCTCGTTTTTTTGTAGGAGTGCGCTTGTCTCTGTAACGTTGCGTTCATTAGAAGCGAAATGGCGAGGGTGCCCCCACGCACCAAGAAATTGAGACATGATCGCCATTCCACTGCGTATAGTGTTGGCAATGTATTTACGCTTTTATTCTGCAAGCCAGCTCAGAATAAACAACACTCGTGGATGTGGCACTTACCTGAAAATGTATGTTAAAGAAAATATCGTAACACACTCATCGCTGCTGAACCAAAGATTCATCCTTATGTAGGTTCACATTATCAGTCCTGTGAGTATCGCACTTTGCTCAAGCACTTGGTAAGCAAAATATTACGTCTTGAAGGATCATAAAAGGAGCCCCGTCCATAGCAGGCGTGGAATACTTCAATCTACGTGCGTTTGTGACGTTTTAGTGTGTTTGCGCGTTTTCGCTTCCGTCCCACTTTCTTTCTCTCATTCCCTGTTCCTTACTTTTCTCTCTCCCATTTCCCCTTCTTTAGAGCAGGGTAGCAAACCAGACACTTGCTTTCTGGTTAACCACCCTGCCTTTCATCATACCATATTTCTCTCTCTCTCTCTCTCTCTATTTATCTATCTCTTTGTCACTGCACGTGCAGCTCAGCGAGCCTATTTTATTATGTGGTGACAAAATCATGTTTTCTCCTTTGAGACTGAAACACGAAAATACTCCAGAAAAAAAAAGTGACGATGATGATGAATAAGACTTTATTTGGGTCCAGAGAAGACGCTGGGGAGACTCCGTGCCACCCGGCTAATCCCACGTAAGGACCGTCAAGCCGAGCATTGTCATCAGACGCCTCTTCTTCATGTCCCTCACAATGGCAAGCGCAAAAACATCGCGCGTGCGTTAGGAGAACGTCTGCATAGCTTCTTGCCGTTTTACTCTCTGACGCAGCAGCGTAAGGGGCTCAAAATTGCAGTGGGACTTGGGATGCGTAAATCCGCATACAGATTTTAAACTAACCGGAGGAGGTGTTTGCGAAAGAATTGTCCTTGGTGTACGTGCTTAAAACACAAAAAAAAATGATGTAGTCAAATAAATAAGTGCGTATTGCCGTTTTGCACACATCCTCTCATTCACGTCTCTCTTTTACTTCCCCAATAAAAGCAAGGCCAGCATTGTGTTTGAAAGCGAACGAGCATCGTGCTCGATAAGACGTTTATCGCGTCTACACACTTTCAGGACTTAGTCCAAATACAAAGCAATCTTCCTCTCGATCGGCACACGGCACATGTGGCACAGGTCCAGATTTTCAGCGCACACTTTGCACGAGCCGTGTCCGCACATGAAGACGACGTCTCGCGGCTTTTCCATGCAGATGTTGCACGTGTGACGGTCCTCCAGCTCTTGCAGCCGACTGTCCAGATCTCTCGGCGTCGTCTGGTTCTGTTCTCTGCCTCTGACAGGCATCCCGTCTGTAAGGTTGAAAAAGTGAACTTAGTTCTAGCGTAGGCAAGACAAACAACGATAAAAAGAAAACGAAACCATCTCGCTTAAAGCTGACGCCGTTTGCGAGTATAAGTACGATTCAATCTTTAACCCCTGAGAGAAATATGGCAGTTTATAGAATGTGGCGGAACACAGCTCTAGGAATCGGCGCCATTTCTTCCTCAAGCGCACCACATAAGCCTGCTCTAATAGCCTCCTCTCCCCTCCCCCCCCCCACCCCCCCCGAACTCCTGAAGACGCCATGAGCCATAGTGCCGTTGATCCCGTCTCCGGAGAGCACTGCCGCGTACATTGGCGGGAGTATACTTCTTTAGTCGCGGGGCCCAATGGCTGCTGCGCTTCGGCTGTATCCGACAATAATCATATCGAGAGAGCCTATTATGACAGTCTTGGCTGAATTAAAATTTTCTTTCTGTTATTCCCCTTCACACCACCCCAAGCGTAAGGTAGCCAACCGAGCAAAGCTTGGTTAACCTCCCTGCCTTTTCTCTCCATTTCTCTATCTTTCTTGTTGCAGGTGATATTGAGTTGTTGTGCTGATTGAAGGCAAGCATCGGTGCTCCGCGCTACAGAAGGTGGCCTCCCTACTAAATGCTTAACACACATATTGTTGCGAAACCCCACATATTTCGTGGAAATCCAATAAAGAAAACGGTTTGTAGACGTAGGTATAGATGCGGTGGATTTTGATGATGACTTATTCATGATGAAACCTTCCTCAAGAAACACTAACTTATGTGAAATTGTTTCACCTTGAATACAGCTGTCCTTCTTCACAAATTGCGCGCAGCATACGATTGTTGCTCGCGTGACTCATGATGTCACCGGTGCTGCTCAAGGAGGCATCCCTCTGAACCTTGAGTTTCTTAACCATTCCTTTCCCTCCTTTTCTATCCTTACGTTTTCATGTAAATTTTTCTTTCCCCAGTACAAGGGTAGCAAACAGAAAATTTTCCTCTGGTTAAGCTCCCTACCTTTCATTCAACCTTATGCTCTCTTCAGATTGTGCGCCTAGTAGACAGAGCTTGCGGCTAAACTAATTGCATTGTAACTTTACTTTTCATTAAATTTCTTCAAGTCTCTTCAATAAAATCTACCGAACGCAGTATCCGGACACATGTCCGTGGTGTTGGAAGCGGCCATCTTTCTGACCCACATAAAGTGGACGTGTACAGTGAGACCACACAAAATGGACTCGCCCTTATTGAAGGATACCCATTAGAGAGCAAGGTATAGAGAAATAGTTTGAGCAGTAGAGATCGTGTTTGTGAGCAAGATTGTGGAGAGCGAAGTTGCCTTGCTAGATGAGGTCGAGCGAGCTGCACAGACCAGTGAGGTCCTCTACCAGGGGAGGAGTCCTTGCTTCAATACCCTAAGATATAACAACCTTTCTACCTCTGCTACTATCATTTTCTCAATTTGGTGAAGAAAAATATAAGAACGCTTGAATAAACCACCTACAAAAGTTGAAGCATAAAATAGATACGGAGAGTAGCTACAGATAGAGGAATACACTATAAAAAAAAGTTTTCCAAAGTAACTGCACAGTTAAGCCGTAAAGTGCGCTATGCTCCCCAAGGGACAAGCTCTCTGCAGAAGTTTGCGCACGTCACTGGCAAGAAGGGCACTTTTCTTCCTTGTTAACAAAGGCATCCTTATATTATTTAGTTTTTTTATGGCATGGGGGAAGGCACTACTGCAGAAATGTTTGTGCTGTGTGCAAATTATCCGTAAGTGCCTAAAGAAACCTATTTTCTTCCAGATGGTGTCGTAGCGTGATGTGTTGTAGTTATTAGCATACGCGCATGCTGCCTAGTGGTCGCGAGCTCGAATCCAGTATGTTTGATGTATATTTTCTGAAATTACCTGCATGTAACTGTGTTGTGTGGTTATTTTAGGCCCATGTCAGAACACCTCCAGTGCGTTTGACTCTACAAAAGCGCTACTGACGTTCTTACGGGCCACAGGCTTGAACGAAACGTTGTAAATAGCGCAGTGGCGTTTGAGTGACCTTATGTGTTATCTGACTGTTATGCGTGTATGTAACTGTTTGTGTTGTGTGTTTATCATTGTATATATCACTGTCATCACCTGCCAACTGGTGCAGTCTGTCCGGTGAAAAACCAGGCAAACCTCTCCAGCTTTCCATTAAAATAATTCTCTCTCTCTCTCTTCAAATTCATTTCTGCGTGTGATAATTTTCTATTCATTCTACATCTAATCCTAATGTGAACACAACCTTCAAAATGCTGGTTTAAGTCAACGAAGGACTGATTTTTCTTCTGCACAAAAAGTAAGTATTGCTCCCTTGAGGAGCATTTGTGAGCGGGGAGGCAACAGCTCACCCCTCCGCAGTCACCTCTCCTCCCCTCCCCCTTTCAACGAAAGAATGGGTGTGGCAGATTAGTTACTCCTTTAAAGGAAGCAACCTCGATACCCCTCTTGCTCCTTTATTTACTCAGAGTGCACCTTCTCCTTCCGCCAGAAACACACTCAATGTTTAGTGTTATCCCACCGACCAGCTGTAAGCCACATCAGATATTAGGAAAGTAATGTCGTAGCGGACATACGCTACGTCCATCGCCTCCCCCACCTCGACCAGGAACCTTACCGAGATCAACTTTCTCCTGGATAGGCACAGCGCACGTGAGGCAGACTTTGCAGCGTACGCTGCACTCTTGGCAGGTCGTCCGATGGCCACACGGCTGGAAGACCACGTTGGCTTCAGATTCAATGCAGATCTTGCACTTTTCCCCAGTTAGAGGACTCGCTGAACTTTGACGGGACGGCCTCGAAGCCTCTGACACCATGAATCGGCTGTGACAAAATGGCATTGCTTTTATGTGCCAGTCCACTGACTCGTTTCTCTTAATTTTTTAAGCATGGCATCACAATTCAAGCTACGTACCTCATAGATGAAAAACATCGTACTGCAACTCAGTAGTTCACAGACAAAATCACCCTACCAAAATTCAGAGAGTAAATTGTGACTGGTAGTGAAAACCTTAATGCCAAAACATGTGACATCCTTAACACCGTGTCTTACTGGAACAGGATATACCTTCAGGATAAAGTAGAAAGAACAAAAAAATGGGAAAAAAACATAACACTGTTACAAAACTTAAGTACGTCAGTTTTTTTTTTAATGCTGATGGCAATCTCATTGGCTCATTGTTTGAAAACATACCAACTACCCCCCATTTCCGCCTGGAACGTTCCTGATATGTAAACTCATGAAATGCATTTTTATGGGTGCTGTAGCCACATGCTAAACTTACTGGTCTGGTAAACTGAATTGCTCGTCAGAAAAAAACCAGCTGATTGGCCATAGTTAAAACAAAACAATGTTATCAGATCCTCTTTATGCGCCATTTCATTTGCAATCGCATGGCTCGGAATCGAAAAGCTTTTTGCTTCTGCCGGATTTTTTTTTCTCGTTGAAGTAAATAGGGTAAGTAGGAGCTGTTATAACTGTTTTGTATCCTGCAGGATATTCGCCATTCCACGCTTGAGTAATAATGCTTCCCAACACCAGGATAGACTGAAGTTTTCGTTTGAGAAATACTTTGGCACAAAAGGCTTTTCTCGGGGTTCCCCTTCATTCTAAAGGTTAGGTGTTAGCCTCTATGTAGACTTACGTTTGTCCCTATGAGTAAAACATGCACTATCCTACAATCCCATTTGAATCATAGTAAACGACTTGTATCAAATATATGTTTAATGGTAGATACGCACTCATTCCTAAATATTGGGACAACTGCGCACAAATGGTTCGAAAACTAAAGAAATGGAGGAGCTGGCGGTGTTTCCCTCCTGGTTTCTCTCCTCCTCCTCACCCTCACTTCTTTTTCTTGCCCTTGCTATATTATACCATAGATTATGCTATGTGTAAACATCTCTCTTCTCGGCCCTCCTCCTTCTTCCCGCCTCAACCGCACTTTTTCTACCACCTACACGCTTTCGAGCAACGAGCCTTACACCCACTTTGCTTATACGATCTACTTGGGCGCGTGGCTTATGCTGTGTGTTACAAATTGTGTAGAAGGCGAGAAGCGACGTTATTATCATCGGAGGATTAGAGCAGTGTTCGCAATAAGAAGAGGTCAACAAGTAGGCTTCGTCACTGGGCTTGGCGGCTCGGTCCCTTTCTCTACAATTTGGTGCAATAAAAGAGATGACAGAGGTTTTCTGTCGTCCCAGCGCTCTCGTCATCTTTTTGGTTTTCCTGAAAAACGTGCCTAGTAGCTTCAGTTGCCAAAATACGCAGGAGTCACATCGGATAGGCGGCTCACTTCATCCGCCGAAACGCGGAGTCGCTTCAGCTAGGTGTGCTTAAGAGTGCTAAAAAACCTTTCGTGCTCACATCCAGTGGTTAAAAGGCGTCACTATGAATCTCTTCACTGGTATTTTACATTATACCAATGACACACATAACCACATGCTAGTGTAGGGTGGAGTAAAATGAGACATAAATTTCAAAATAGTGAATATGTGTTTTTATTCCACTCGGTAACAGAAAACGACCATGCAGAAATTTTCCTTTGTGTAAAAGCATGTGCTGCGTAAGTATGACCAAGTAGCCAGATTTCGAGAGTTTATTAAAACAAAAGTAAAAAGGCACCATGTGTCTCATTTTGCCCAACTCTGCGAGGCAAAACGAGAAAGTGTGAAAAAAAAACGTTTATTTCTGCAGTTCTTCCAATAGAAGCCCTTCATATTTACTCCATGGGCCCTCATGCAGTTCTGATATTCCAGTTCTCGGACTCCACGCATTGAATACAGACAGACCTCGGCTTTCTGTTATTTAGAAACTCCTTGCAGAGCAAGCGCTGTCAGTCTTCCTTTGTGCTAATGTCTTTTTTGAAAGCTTGTACTTCATCGTAACGTTCAATGATTAAAACCCACATATATTTTAACACTTTTTTCTGCCCCACCGCGGTGGTCTAGTGGGTAAGGTAGTCGGCTGCTGAACCGCAGCTCACGGGCTCGAATATTGGCTGCAGCGGCTGCATTTCTGATGGAGGCGGAAATGTTGTAGGCACTTGTGCTCAGATATGGGTGCACGTTAAAGAACCCCAAGTGCTCGAAATTCTCCACTACGGGGTCTCTCCACTACGGCGTCTCTCATAATCATATGGTGGTTTTGGGATGGTAAACCCCACATATCGATCATTAACACTTCTTTCTCACCTCTTTTTCTGTTTTGATGCAGAGCTCCATGGATATTTCGTTGCTTTCAACTTCGTCAGCAGGGCTTCTTGAGGGAATGAATGTCGTATTTCTTGTATCTTGTTACTTTATAAAACTTTGGTATAAAAATCTCATTAATACTGATTTCAAAAACTTTTTTGTGAACCACTTGAGTCAGAGATTCTTCTTGTTTTTTCGTGCACCTGTTGAAAGCATCCTTGGGAACGCGGAACAGTCACGACGTCGCAAGAATGGGGTCGGTCCTGTCCTCAACAGCGACCAGGGCTTTTAAGGTCGAAGCATGGTCTAAGGCAGTCCCTCCCTCTAGCGTAACCAACACAGCATATCCGCAGACAGACAGACAGACAGACAGACAGACAGACAGACAGACAGACAGACAGACAGACAGACAGACAGACAGACAGACAGACAGACAGACAGACAGACAGACAGAGTGACAGAAAGACAGACAGACAGACAAAGTGACAGACAGACAGACGGAGTGACAGACAGACAGACAGACAGACAGAGTGACAGACAGACAGACAGACAGACAGAGTGACAGACAGGCAGGCAGGCAGGCAGGCAAGCAGGCAGGCAGGCAGACAGACAGACAGACAGACAGACAGACAGACAGACAGACGGAGTGACAGACAGAGTGACAGACAGGCAGACAGACAGGGTGACAGACAAGGTGACAGACAGACAGACAGACAGACAGACGGAGTGACAGACAGACAGACAGAGTGACAGACAGACAGACAGACAGACAGACAGACAGAGAGACAGACAGACAGACAGACAGACAGACAGACAGACAGACAGAGTGACAGACAGACAGACAGACAGACAGACAGACAGACAGAGTGACAGACAAAGAGACAGACAGACAGACAGACAGACAGACAGACAGACAGACAGACAGACAGACAGACAGACAGAAGAAAGGACATGGACCGACGGACGAATGGACGGACGGACATGGACAGACAGATGGGTGGACGAACGCTTAGCCCCACTTATCATCATTCACTCCGTGTGTATGCTGTGCTTTTTAGGGTCGTTTTACTGCCAGAAAGCTTTACATTATATTTTATTTTACGTCCAAACCATCCTGAAGAAAAAATATTAAATTAGTGTAAATAAATAGTTCATTTAATAAGACACTCTCTAAGGCAACTTTACGTCTTTTTGTCGCGTTTTGCTCCTCTGACAAGTCTATGTTTTAAAAAAATGCGCTTTGTTTCCGGGCACCAAATGAACTAAGCTTTTAGTGGTAAGTAGCAAGTATAAAGTGCCAAATAAATACACACCTCGTGTGTATAAACTCTGCGAACCAAATCCAAAGATTTGGTTGAGCAGAGTTTCATTTCTCTTTAACGAGTCCCTTACATACCGACACTAGTCGCGTAATTTTTCTCGCGCTAACGCTGTGAGCAACCACCATCTTTTACACTTGAAAAGGTACACAAATACCAGTACTTATTGTTGGGAAATAAAAACAACAAAAAGTATTTTTGTGTTGAATACAAAACCCCACAAAAACCAAAATTTCACATTTCTCCCCTGTCTCATTTTATCCACCCCACCCTAATCTATACAAGGCAAAATTTCAGTGGAAGATCAAAGCTCTAAGAGATGGGTAATTCGTGATCACTGGGTGTTGCTGAATGCGACGTCTTGACTAGCAGACTGTTCTGCTTCAGCCTTGAAAAAGACAAGTTCGCCGGCCAAAATGTCGGTTCCAGCACCACCCCGAGTTCACGAATACTATTAAAGCCTGTACAAACCTTCTTGAAGCCCACGCTCCGATATGTTCTAAGGTGTCAGTGGCGGCAGCCATTCTCAAGGGCGAGATGCCTTTGTTGTTCAGTATGTAAACGTCGGCTCCCCGGTTGGCAAGGTAGCAAAGAGGAGCCAAGCGCTCATTCGGCAATTCTCGCGCAATCTGCGAAAAAAAAAAGGAATAAGTTGTAAAAATCCCAAGTGTACAGGCGAAAAAAATAGAAAAATAATTGCGCATATCAACATTAGGAACCAGCTCTAATCTACCACTTTGATATCTTAACCATGGCCCTAGGATGAAAAACAAGTCTTAACCATCACGGCCTTCAATGGACATATTTCCTGATTTGTTAAAAGTATGCAGTCTAGTATTAATTGAACACTCGGGTACATGCATGTAAGATGTAAGCAAAAAAATCTGCCTGTTATTTCAGCTGACAGGGCCACTACGTCAAACTGTCACTACAATGTATAAGGTAACGCGAGCAGCATCACACATTATCACTCACTGTAAGCATTACAATGAACAAAATTAGCATAGAGCAGATTGTGAGTGACACCACGAGATGTATTTTTAGAATTAGTTGGGGCTATCGAGGCCCTATGAGAAGGGCTTGACCAGCTGAAGCCGTCAATCAGGGGGCCATAACTACATTAAAAACAGCTGCTCCTCCCTCTCTCACCATGCAGTCGTTACTACCGTTATCATGTGCCTATCTTCAGAGCGAGCCATAAGGCTCGTGATGATTAAGTGAGGCCCCCTTAAAGTGATCAACAACGAACGAGTGTTGTTCCCACGCACCGCTGACAAGGTGGGAGAGTTTGAGGTATCCGGCGAACGCAGTGCAATCAAGTGGTGTCTGCTTATTGCATAGTGAAGCACAGTATCTCCATCCTGGTCCTGCCGATTGACGTCAGCACCAGCCTCGACGAGGATCTCGACAATATCCCAGTGACCAAAGAGTGCTGCAAGCATTAGCGGCGTCTCTCCTTTAGAAGCATGGGCGTTCATGTCGCATTGCCTCTGAGAAAACGAAATTGGAAAACTTTTTATGAGTACTGACAACCTCAAAGAAATGTTCAGCAACATACACGAAACTGCTTGCATTAATTTGTCGGAAGTTGTGCGCATTTTGTACAAGCATTGAGTTGCTCTGCTAAATATAAATGCTTAACGTGTCTTTAACCTCCTTGTTTTCGCGCGCACGCGCACAGGCGCATAAACGCACGCACACACAGAGACACTCACAAAAAGTTATAGTATGTCCAAAACGTTTTTTCTAGTTATCCCTTTTATTTTGCGGGGTAAAATGCAGCTGCTATGTGAACAGCACCTCCACCTTTTTCTTATTTGCCATTTGTCATTTGGCGTCTTCAGGCACTTACTTCATAGGAATAACAGCTGAATCAGAGTTGGGGATGTTTTTCGCGAGAACAGCATATCTGACTGTGCAGGTTAACCCCTTCCTCTTCCGCGGGAATCTCTGCGAGATTGGAAACGTTCACTTTTCTCTTGAACGCTGCAGGGAACAATGCTTATTTGAGATCGCACGTGACGTGCGGGCTTGACTCATCGTACGACGTGCTGCGAAACTCTGAATGTAAGCCCAACAGTGATAAGTAAGGCAGAACGTTACCTTCGACAACAAGGTTTTCACAACCCGGATGTGTCCGTTTTTCGCCGCCAAGTGCAAAGCCATGAAGCCGTCATTTTTGGCCACATTCAGCAAGTTCAGCCGTTTCGACAGGATTCTCTCGGCAATTCTGAAGTGTAGAGGGAGTTCTTGTTAGAAATTTCGTTCGAACAAATTCAAATGGGCATGTTAAAAGCACATCGAAGCAAATATCACTTTAGTGGTCCACGCTGGTGTTAGTGCATTACTTCCTATCTCATGACTACATAAAGCAGCATTTGCTACTGACGTCACGAGGACATATTATTCGAGGGAGCAGGGGAGGCCGCTGTGTTTTTTTGAAGACGATAGTCTTTCTTGGGGACCTTCGAAGCAAAAATTTTGGTCTGTCTGTCTGTCCGTCCGTCCGTCCGTCCGTCCGCCCGTCTGTCTGTCTGTCTGTCTGTCTGTCTGTCTGTCTGTCTGTTTGTCTGTACATTTGGCTGTTTGTCAACTCTTAACGGCATCGGGTACTTCAAACAGCTGACCCCATCCGCAGCGCCCACCTATGTTGCGCATGGTTGAGCGTTCATGCTTGTGCAATCGTCAATTAAAAATCAATTATTGCGCATGTTTGGGGCACCATAACAACACGTATATATTCTGTTTGTGAGCCTTTTCCTGGAAAGGCATGCATAAGTAATTGTAAGGATCGTAGCGCTTACCACGGGGCGCTGACCATGCAAAGCTTGCACGGAAACACGACTGTTTCAAATGCTTTGCTAAAACGAGACGTTGATGGCACCTACCTGTCTCTTTGCATTCTACACTTTATTACCTCTGAGATGGGCACGCACACATGTCTCGGAGCCACGCGCTTTGTTTTCTAAAAAACTGCCAGATGGCGCTTATGTCTCACGTGTGACGTAACTTGATGCGCTCGTTCACCTCCACTGCACGTTCGAGGCACTTGACGCAGCGCCTCCAGAGTACCATTAACCAATTTTCTTGTGCAGAGAATCAAATAAATGTCTTGTTCACTCTCTCCACACACACGACTATCGTCTTTTGACGACATGTGCAGATTACATGCAAATACGGGGCCGATTTTTTCCTCCTTTCTTTTTTGATCTTTTTAAAAAAACACGTTAACTCATGGGTCTCTTGACTCTCCAACTTGAGTATAATAATTTTAGAAGAAGGTTCGCGTTGGTCCTCAAAGAATGTCGGGTGCATGAAAAGCCAGGAAACGTTTTTTTTTTTTCTCAGAGCGTGTCTGATGTCTGACGTATACAGAAGCTGGAAAAATGTTTCGGATCAAAACTTACAATCTAGGCTACGTTGGTGAAAGTTACGGGCTGCCATTACCGCTACCCAGACTCTTGAGCCGCAAATGAAGAGCTAGTAAACACGAAATGAACTTCAAAACCAATGAAGAAGAAACATATACTTGCTCGTGATTGCCCTTAAAGCAGGCATGATGCAGAGAATTGAAGCCTCTTTTATTCTGGAGTGACAAGTCCATGGCGCGGAAATCAATCAGGAGGCAGGCGATTACGGTGCTGTCGAAGGTGATGGCATCGTGCAGGGCCGTGTCCCCTGCGGCGTCCTTAAGTGATAGTTGAAGATCAGATGGTTAGGCGACACCATTACGTCAGCGTAAGTTTAAGGGTTCATTTCTTTTGTTAGACGCATTATGAATGACTACACACACTGTTTTTTAGTTCTCATTATTATAGCAGTACGTTGGTCGTTGAGCGAGCACGCTGTCATACGAAAGCAGCCGTAGAAAACAGGTTGGTTACGTCATCTACAATACAGTACAGTGGGCCACAAAATAATATGAACCATGCGAGGGAGCCCCGAAATTGCCGCATGCACCGTCCAGTGGCGAGTCGTCTGCTGTCGACAGCTTCACGCTGGCCAACGTCTCCTAGAAAACTTTTTTTAGGAGGCGTTGCTCTGGCACAGCATAAGCCGCAGCAATGATCTCGACACCAGGAAGTTCGCCACTAGACGACGCAGACGGTAATATGGTCCCACGTTCGGGTGGCCTGCACTACTTTGCAGCCTACTTGACATATGATTGCTCGAAAACGGAACGTACGAAAAGCGACTTTCAAAAGGGCCGGTTGACCAGGCAAGACTCAATTCGAACAAAGGAACAACGTTAAAGGCATAGCGAGGGACTACGGGTCGAGCACGGCGAGATGTGGCGACGCAATGTTCTGCACTACACGAAACAGTAGCATGGTCACCCTGCTTGACCCCCTACGCACACACGCCGTCCAAAACGAATGCATGTAACCAATGCATGTAATGGGTAATCAGGCGATTAGTTCGCTAGTCGATAGAAATGATATGTGTAAGCTAGTATGCCCTTAAATGTTTATGGAGATGCATCTGTTGATGTAAATTATCTCTTTCACCCATCAGAGGCTTGAATTAACACATCGATTTGTGATTACGGCTAATTTTGGATACTTTCAAGATAAGTAAGATGACGTTGCTCGTGAACTGCACGCGCTAACGATTATCATGCTGGCCAAAACTGTTATTCCAAATACTGTGCACCTAGAATGCCCTTCTCTTCCACATTAATAATGTCTCTTTAGAGATACTTGCCCCTTAATCTTTTAAGCCTTTTTTGCCGTCTTGTGGGTCAAAAGTTGCATACTGCTCTCACTTTGGGGAGCTATGTTCGAGAAGATGTGGAGAAATTTTCGTGCCCAAGATGTAAATTTATAAATTTACTTATATTTCATTGGGAGAACCAGACATTGAAAAATGTTCGTAAGAAGTGCGAGAAGGATACGAGGTATATATGCGACTTTTTCAAAGAAATTTTCCTGGACGTAATCAGGAGGTGTTTACCGATAGATATATTGATCTGTGACAAAACTTTATCTCAACCCAAACAAATGTTGCTTATTGAGTTATTGTGCCTTCTTTGTGTCACTGAACAAAACAGCCAGAATTGGATTAGGCTACAGACATATTGTCAGAAAACTGGGCAAGCTCCGAAAGCAGCCTCACCGCAGTGGTCTAATGGCTAAGGTACTCGGCAGCTGACTCGTAGGTCGTGGGATCAAATCCCGGCTGCGACGGCTGCGTTTTCGACCGAGGCAAAACTGATGTGGGACCATACGCTGATTTTGATACATGCCCGTCAAAGAATCCGATTATTATTATTATTATTATTATTATTATTATTATTATTATTATTATTATTATTATTATTATTATTAAGATCCTAATGCAGTCCGCATGCCCTTTGGAAGCCCGGAAACAAATCGTACCTGTATGTTTACGTTAATCCTACGTGAATAGGAGAGCAAGGTCCGAACGCAGTCTGCGTGCCCTTTGGAGGCAGCAACGTGCAGAGGAGTCCGGTTCCTGTGATTCACAGCATTCAAGTCTGCTCTGGCTGTCACGAGAAGGCGCATGGCACCGGGCTCATTCCTGCATGACGGGCAGAAATGCCGTTTTCGTTAACCATTATGCGCTTCCTTTTTTCTAGATGAGCTCGAAGATATACAGCCCTGTAGCAAAAGTAGAGATAGCACTGATTTATCACGAAGGCTGGGCTTAGTTTTTACGTCACACTATGCGGCATATGTACAAACGAGTGAACCTTGCCACTTCCGGTTAACACGGAAAAAAATGCATATCCTAAAGGGGCGCTAAACGCAAATAACAATTTCTGTCAGAGTAAAAGTTCAATCTAGAACGTCTTGAACGGCAATATCAACAGCAGTGCCCTACTTACCGAGAGTTAGCTTCATGTATCACACGACGTGCTCCCCGAGTGGGACATTTCGGAAATGATCCTGAGTACGCGAGAGCGTCTGACTAAAATTGTTCACTACTAATCTAACTACGCGCAATAAAAAAAAGAACTTTCCAGAGCAGTAATATAGTGCTGCTTGTCCGTTTCTCCTTGATTTATAGAAACAATTCACTGCATATCAACTGGAGGGAATGATGATGAGTGGAGCGAAGCGTCCATTCGTCGGTCCATGCTTCTGAGCGTTCAATCATCCTTCCGTGCTCCTGTCCATTCGTCCGTTTGTCCCTACGTCCCTGCTTCCGTCCGTCCGTGCGTCCATCTATGTGTCCAACCAAGCACGATCTGGCAAGCGCACTTCTCCGCGTACGGAGACGATCCAGGTGAATGAAAGATAACCCCCGTGCAACCCCGTACAGCCCGGGCAGCAGCTAGTAGGAGAGAAGCGGCCCCTCCAATGCCATCTAGTTTAGATTCACCGAACCGTCATGTTGAATGATAAGGCACACCTACTGGTGTGGTACGCTGGATGGAGTGACGCCGACCTGACGACCGACCAGGTGATGCTATAAGGAGCTTCACCCTCTAAAAAAAAAAACCACTTGGTGTTACTATGCGGAATGGCGCGAGTACTTGAAAAGTTCAGTTTTTGACTGGTTAGGCTGGATAGGTGGTGCCATCTAGCGGGACCTCTGAACCAAGCAAGCCCAATTATGGCCTCCGAGATTGCAGAAAATTGTTCAACGGCATTCGTTGCTACTGTGGCTCCCGCTACTTTTGCTCTGCTGCTGCTGCTGCTATTGCTGCTGCAGGTGGTGTCGATGGCTGCGTAGTGAAAGTGGGCAACGTTTGGCACTGAAACACCAGTTGTCTCTGAATCGCCTTTCATGCGCCGGTGACTTGAAGTGGGCTAACAAGATGCAGACCTTTCAAACAAGATATTATTTTAAATAAGCACTTCCTTATCACAAAACTAGCACTATGAGGTTTCTGGACCGCTATTTCAACAATCAACGTCGACTTAATATTTGCCTTCTGTGTGCCTTTAAAGGGCCAGTAAACAACCACAAGGTCCAAAAATTGGTCGTTTAGGGCACGAAACCCCCCATATCGATCAATCATCAAAATTGTTACAGAAAGCATTACGTGCACTTCTGCCTTGTGAACACGCTGCCGGAAGAATTTTGCGGATACGTGCTATATAAGGGTAGTTACAAGGGTTAGAACATCGGTTTCTGTTGGTTTCAGGTTCTAGCATGGCCTCGCCACCTTTCTCCCTCACATACAGGGGCAGGCGTAGCCCATTGTCATGACTGGAATAGCCCAATTGAAGAGCTGCGTGCTACACCACGCGATTAGTGATTTTGCGTCACTGCGCCTGAAAGAAGGATGGGTCAGGCGAGATAAGGAGGACAAGGCGCTGCGCGGCGTGCAGCATTGTAATATTCAGAAAACCTGGTCACCGCGGTCTACACTATGAATGGCTGAGCTTCTGTGAAGCCCGTTGACTGGCCCTTCAAGAACATATGACCATTGTTCTTTGCAACAAGGTAATAGTAACTGCGCATGTTACGTGCCTATTACCATCTCTTTCTCGCAGTGTTGGTGCATGATCGCACACTTTATACGCATATCAATCAATATTTGGAGGTTTTCTTAAGCACGAGACTAGTTTGATTTTTACTTGTAAAGTATTGCTTTAAATTTGCAAAGTCACTTCAATGAAATAGGTATAAGGACACAGCTGAGCGCGAGCACTGATAGGTGATTTAGATGAGGGGAACCTTTATCCTCGCGGCTTTGCAGTGCTGTGGAACTAAAGTTCACAAAACACGCTGTCTGAAGCTGTACATCCCGTTACCACTGCTTAACTGCTGCACATGCTCACAGAATTCATGACATCGTAGACACCTGGTCCTGAAACCTCACGTACAGGTAGCTGACTATATCTGAATTTGCTTATGTTTTGATTTATTGATGTTTTGATTCATTCGCATGTGACCTTCATGTCATTGAATTTACTTTACCTAATTCACTAGAGTGAAACTTGCTATTTTTTTATAATAGGACCTTTTAGGAGCGCTGCTCGCAAAATATTACAGGCTTCCTACTCACCCAACCGCGCAGTAATGCAGAGGTGTGTTGCCATCTATATCTTTCACGTTAACGTCATTTCCTGCATCGATCAATGTCTTTGCCATGTCTTCGTTTCCGTGATAGCACACTGTGTGCAAGGGCGACTCCTGGAGGCTACGTCTTCGAGCCCTCTGTAAAGAGCGAGTTGGTCAAATATTACCACTTCCTGCAGCTTTTGTATCGGTTAGTAGATCTGTAAGCATTGGTTAATTTTCAGTAACTGTGTTCGATCATCGTGAAAGAAAAAAGTGCTAGCTGACAGCTGTTTTTGCTAGATGTAAAGGATCTCAACAAAGCTGCACGTGCTGACGTCTTTTTGGCGTTGTCCATAACTCCACAAAGGCGGGCCATTGACTCATCCAACGCTGTAAGTTAACTGTGTGGATACAAAAGGCATGCCTTTCCATGTTTCGTACTCCAGCATAATGAGGCATAACTGTCATCACATACGTTTTTGAGTAACCCTCGTCACAGAGATTAAGCTTTTTTATCGCTATGAAGAGATTTTTATATCTAATGAAGCATACCATATCATCCTCCTTAAGATTATTGGGTACATTTTTAGCTGGAGGCAAATGTACTTAGTACGTAGCCAATGTATTCGTTGTGGCATGCAACTTCGATGGCGTGCAAACCGAGATTGCTGCTAACAAAGTGTGTTCGCACCACTCAGCAATTACATAAATCTTAGGTTTAAGCTCACAGTTGCCTTTGCAAGCTTCCTTTTTGAATTGCACAGTTACCGAAAAGATGTTGCGCAAAGTGATGATGTGTGTGCCACCTCATGGCATATTGCCTTCAGATGAAGTAATCGCTAAATACTTTTATTTCGCTATTGATTAAATAAGGGAGCATTTTATATTGTGATTAAACACAGTCGGATATATTTCTCGGGTTATATTGAAGATAATTGTTTTGGTCAGCTTAAAATTTCATGTCTCCTAGGGCATAACATAAGTTATTCCAGATAAGTTATTTTAATTAAATAGCTTGTGTGTCAGGATAGCTCGCTTATATGAGCGAGGCTTTTTTTTAATAGAACAGAAACGAACCTGTACAACCTCACCGAAGTGTTCGAGCGCTTGTCTCAAGTCTTCAAGGTTACCGACCAGATCAACCATATTGTCTGCAGCAGTCTGAGAACTGGAGCTGTCTGTAAAGTGAAAGAAGTGTCGTGGCGTGTTTCACATATCATGCTCGGTACATTTTCATGCAAAATTAGCCAGTTCGCATAGTAATTATTGCGTTCGTTAGGTCAAAATACCAACCAAAGTGCTGTCCTTCCTGAGCACCATAAAAGCAACCGAACACTAGAACTTCTTTTTGTTTCACCGTATTTGAGAAAGTGTGGGAAAACTATGTTAAACACCTCGGAATCAATGCTGGAAAAAGAATGCATGCGCCTTTCATGATAGTTGTATTCTTCAGTTTGTGTATTGGCTTTCTCTTACTATTGCGTGATCGTGAATTCTTGTCTGGCAGGCTATGAAGCCCTTCTCTGGAAGTTTCCGTGCAGCTATTCAGCAGGGTGGGTGGGTAGCTGTGAGACTTCACTGAAGTACGTCAAGACGCAAGTTAGCACGCCGCGAGTGGCTCCCACATCACGACATCCAGGGCAAGCCTGTCGGCGCTCTGCCATGTGTGGGTGCACGGAGTGGAGCAGGGGGTGGATACGGGAGGACTGGATCCCCCTCCAAACTTTCACCGGCCCCCCTTCCCTTCCCCCAAGAGGCAACATAGTCATAGCATAATGGCTAATGTAGCGTCATCATTATCGCCATTCGTCATCATATCACTTCTTAGTCACCGCGCCGCGCCTCTCGCACGCTCATGTATAGCGTCAGCTACGCGAGCACCGAACGGGTTGGGTTCACGTGCCTGGTGTGTCGGACGCTGGTAGCCGCCGCCACTCCGCTTCAGTCTTGGAATAAAGAGGTGAGATCGGCACGGCCCTGTCGACCGCCTTCACGTGTCTCACGTCTCTCTATCTACTCTTGTCGCTACACTGGTGACCTGAAGGACACGCCCGTCAACGAGCCACCCTTTCCGCCACTGTGTCTGCCAGTGCCACCATTCCACCCGACCTTACCTCAGGCATGGCTCATGCGGCTCGACGCCGTTCTCGCTGTGAATGGTGTCGTGGACCAGGCACTTATGCACGCCATCTTGCTCGACGCGCTGCAGGTTTAGTTTCGCCATCTTGCTGCCAAATCCACCACAAGGCCACAGCCATATGACGCCCTCTGCACTGCGGTGCTCACCTGCTGCGGCCTCACGTGCCACCCGCTTCCAGGGTGCTACGACGTCGTGGTTGCCACTGCGTTGCAGCGCGCGCTACCAATCAGCCCACATCCCTCTATTAAAGACCACCACACTACCCCGGCTACAACTCCTCGAATCCTACCTCAGATCTGGTCGCAAGAACATGGAATCCTGTACCTGACCATGACGACGAGTTAGAGGACCCTACGACTAAACTCCCCTCCAAGAGGCCCGTTCTCTCGGAGCCCAAGTACGAAGATCTGTCGCACGTGCATGCTACCTGCACATCCTTCGCGACATAGATGGCATGTGACACCTCAGTGCTGCAAGACTCCACAACAGCTACTGTTGTGGAGTCTGGAAGCAGACTGCAGCACGCCAATGCTGACGTTCGGCAGCCACCCAAGACTTCGGCGCCAAGCACCGAGAAAAGCACGTCCGCCGTAAACGAGAGTCCGTCACCAGCTTATTTATTTACAGATATATAGATATGGTACATAACACTGCCCCTTTAGGTGCCACATGACATCGAAACAAAAAACTGAAACAGGAACCAAAACTAAACAAAACAGCACGACACAACAGCTACCTTGCCACACGCCTTGGAGTCTGGGCCCGACATACTGTTATGCCTGCGAGTCCGCAGCGAACGTCCAGTGCCTCGGAAAAAAGAAATCTGTGTCAAGGCCAGCACGCGAGCCCGCCTGACGTGATGAACAACTCAACGGCGTCATCACGCGACTGGCGCCTTTCTTGCGCGCACGTGCAGTGTGTCACCTCAGCCCGTGAGCCCGTCGAGTAAACAACTGGCGCCTTCCTGTCTCACAATCCTCCAATGGAACTGCCGGGGATTTCGGGCTCGCACTAAGCGGACTGCTCTCCGGCTCCACTTAGCAACCTATCCCCAATTACCCGCGGTAGTGGCCCTACAGGAACCGGGCGAACACGCTGCCCTTACAAACTATACCGTGTATTAAAGGGACGCGCAAACGGCACTTTGCGTGCATCGAGATTACACCGTCAGTTTGATGGATCTCGAATACAACCCGGCTTACTCGTATGCTATGGTGACTCTCCTCCCTCTTAGGAAGCAGGACCCATCCATACACATTCTTAACATCTACAGTTCACCCAAACTGCCCAACATAACATACGCCGACATCTTTAGCAAAGCTCACACGGTGGCAGGCAAAGAACCACTAGTCATAGTAGGCGATTTCAATGCCCCCAGCCCTCAATGGGGTTATCGTCGGGAGGAGCGACGTGGTCGGAAATTGGCGGAACTTATTTCCACCATGAGCCTAACCATCCTGACGGACCCCACACACCCAACCCGCATTGGAAACTCTGTTACCCGAGACACATGTCCCGATCTCACACTCACCAAAAACATCAAACACGCAGATTGGCTCAATACCGAGGAAACCCTCGGTAGTGACCACTGCATTGTCATTACCACAATCCGGACACACCCCCTTACTCGTCCCCACCACCAAGCGAAACTTCCAGACTGGACCAAATTTCGCTTGGTATACTCCAATCAGACCCCCATAGCTCACCAAGGATACTACACTTGGTCCCAACATCTCGTAAACTCACTCCACAAAATCGAGCAGACGATTCAACTTTCAGAGGCCACGCCGGTGGTGGACAACCACTTCCTGCATCTCTGGGAGGCTCGGCACAGCCTAGTGCGCCGATGGCGCCGACAGAAACACAACCGACAGCTCAAAATCCGCATAGCGGCTCTCACCCTAGAGGCCGACGAGTACGCTGGCCCAGCTCGCCGACTCAAACTGAATAGAGCGCTGCAACACTGCCGCCACACAGATGTCAAGCCGCAACACCTGGCGTCTCTTTAGGGCTCTCATCGACTCTAGCCAAACACGCACAGAAACACAGAAACACCTTCAGCGTGCGCTTCACGCCTATGCGGGTAACGCGGAAAAATTGGCACAGGCTCTCAGAGACAAATATCTCTGTAGCCAACAGGACCCCATCGGACCGGCGTATTCATATGCAGGCACGGAAAACGCCGAGTTGGATCGTTGCTTTCAGCTCCACCATCTGAAGGCGGCCCTGTCCAAAATGAAACGAGGCACAGCGCCAGGTCGGGATCGAGTGACGGTTCGGCTCCTAGCCAACCTCCCTGACTCGGCGTACATTCACCTCCTCGACTACTTCAATCAGATCTGGGAGGGGCGCGAACCCCTACCGCTCGATTGGAAAACGGCCTTAGTAACTTTCATCCCTAAAACAGGCAAATCTGTAAACATCGACAATCTCAGACCAATTTCCCTAACCTCATGCGTAGGAAAACTTATGGAAGCCATGGTCCGGGACAGGCTCTCTGAATACTTAGAGGCCCGACACATTTTTGCAGACACTATGTACGGCTTTCGCCCACATCGCTCTGCTCAGGACATCCCCCTGCAACTTCATCGTGACGTTGTCGAACCGGTCGAACAATCCAGTGACGACAAGGTAGTCCTCGCCTTAGATCTCAAGGGAGCTTTCGATAACGTTACCCATGACATCATCCTTACCAACCTATCACAAACTGTGGCCATAATGCTTTTAGGTACGTCCGCCAATTCTTCATAGAACGGCAGACATACCTGCGTATTCAAGACAAGGAGCATGGACCGTACCCCCTCGGTACGCGCGGAACACCACAGGGAGCAGTCCTCTCTCCTCTTCTGTTCAATCTTGCCATGGCTCACCTTCCCTCATTGCTAAACGATGTCCCAGGCGTGCAGCACGCTCTGTACGCCGACGACATCATGCTATGGGCAACTCAGGGTTCCCTTGGTAGCATCGAGACATGCCTGCAACATGCCGCGTCGATAGTTGACAGCTACGCCCGCGGCTGCGGTCTCGAATGCTCACCCACCAAATCGGAATACGTGCATCTTCACCCCAAATTGAACGACACGACACAAATTGAACTCACCTTGTGTTACAGGGCCATTCCGGAACGCGACGAAATCAGACTTCTGGGACTCTTCACACACAAGCACCACAAAACTGACACCACTCTGCGCAAACTACGCACTGTGGGGGATCACGTGGGCCGCATGATCCGCCGGGTTTCGAACAGGCGAGGAGGTCTCAAGAGCCGTGCTGCTCTGCGCCTCGCCAACGCTTTCGTGACCAGCCGGATCCTTTATTCGACACCTTACCTGCGTCTGCGTAAATGCGAAGAGAACACACTAGACTGTATACTCCGCAAAATTTACAAACGTGCCCTAGACCTCCCCATCTCAACGTCGAACCAACGTCTCGCAGACCTGGGCATGACAAACACGTACGGGGAACTTAAAGAGGCTCATCTCAATAACCAGTACCTGCGCCTTAGTAGGTCTCAGGATGGGAACAACCTCCTACACGGCCTCCACATTTCCAACACCCACAAGGTGGAAGAGCGTACCGCGATCCCCGAGGATTGGCGTGGTGCACTGATCATTCCGCCTCTGCCCCAAAACATGACAAATGGGACTCACGATGGGCAGCGTACAGCACGGGCTACAGCCCTACAGCAACGGTATGGCTCACGCCCGGGAGTCTTCTACACGGACGCATCCGGCCCCCAACACGGCGGGTGGTACACGGCCGCTGTGGTTCACCAAAACGTACCTATTCAAGGGCTCACCTTTCGAGCACCGGACATCACACACGCGGAGGAGGTCGCCATAGCCCTCGCCGCAGCGGACCCCGCATCTCGGATAATTATTACCGATTCGCGGAGGGCGTGCCAAAATCTCACACGGGGTTGCATCAATGATCGCGCCGCCGAAATCCTTAAGCGATGCTATTATCTAGATCGCCGAAATCCACGCACCGTCATCTGGACTCCTGCTCATACGGGGCTAGTTGGAAACGAGGCTGCAG